GACTTCCCTAAAGTGTTCACCAACATTGTCAGTGTACAGGTTGCCAACACGCTGGAATAGCGGTGAGGGATTTTCATCCATGAAGGTTTGCACTTCAAGCCACTTTGCACAGATTTTTCAGGGTTAGCCTCAAACCCTTCAAAATCCCTTTTGTTACACATTCTGGCCACAGTTCTCAAGCAAGTTCAAGGTCTTCTTAGTCACCTCCCCCCCAAAAAGCCTTACATAAAGGTTTACACAATTGAGATATTAAAGTGCTCTCTCCAAAACTCTTTGGGTCAGTTGAGTTTCGAGGTCACTACAAAGCACCTTTCAAACAGAGCTTTTGTGTACAGTTTTTTGAAGTTTGCAAACCTGCTGGTCCATGGTTTGCTGGAGAGGTGGTATTAGGAGGCAAAAACTTCCCTTAATGAAGCTCATGTCCCATAAAGTCGCTCTGCCCACGCCCTGTAAGATGACCAGGGGCTTTTTCTAACACCAGGGCACTTAAGTTCTAATTTCTTTTCATTAGGTAACTTTCACATTGGGGCAAATGCAGGTGTAACCAGTTATAGAAAAAGTCCCTAGTGACCCATGCTTACTGTTTGCCCTCCACAGCACACACAATATCCTTGAGACATTCTTTTGCCTGAACGCTCTGGGAGTTTCAGAGTGATACACTAATAAAGGCTTAACTTTGCAATCACCACTAGCATTGGCACACATCAACAAAGAAAGCCTGTCTTTCAAAGGCTTATGTCCTGGGAGTGCCTTTCCTCCTGAGTCATGTAGGTCCTGCTTGATTTTCTTCCAGAACTGGCCTGTTTCATCACAATTAAACACTTGTTCAGGTTTCAGCCTTCACTGTCTATGTACTCCTTGAATTCTTGCACATATTTTTCCAGCCGCTTTGTGGTCCGAACTGGCAGCCTCACCATTCCTTATCACACTATGGATGCCCCCTACGCTTCCTTAAATTCTCCCCAAACCACCTTGCTCGTCCTTAAATTCACTCACATTCTTCACTATTGCAGGCATTTTTTTAATTAAATCCTCATGCAACTTCCCTAGCCTTTCAACAAAATGTTCTTGAGGACTCTTTCTCCGCTACTGTTTTATTCTCCCAAATTTCCACCAATAGAGTCTCTCACATCTTCCATCACTTGCGATCTTCGTTTCGAAAACACAGTTAAACCTTTGCAAGAACACTTCCTTGATTGTCTTTCTGTCCCACAATAGTAGCGAATTTGATGGGGTTTCTTCGTACAACTTGACCGGTCGGTTAACGAAACTCCACTTTCATACTTGCATGATCTCTTCTTCATTCTATTGGATTCTCACCTAATTGTTTACGGTTGCACTAGAACTTTCTTGGGGCCCATGTTCACTTATTTTCAAAACAGCACCGAAAACACTGATAATACGGAAATGTCGATTGTATCTGAATGTTACCGCGGAGCTGCGGTAAACAATGGCAGGGCCGGCACTTAGAGCTGTTGTGGCGCACATTGACCTCTCTTGGACGAAAATCGTAAGACGGTTTCTTAATCGGAATGCAGCGCAATTTTGCGATTAAAGCAAGCTCTAATGCGGATTTATCGCTATGACCTCCCGTTATGCTGGGGTCCACTGTACTCACAACTTTCCTTGTAAAACTTGCCCTGGCTTCGTCTCTGTAGATGCCTTCCACTCCCATACATTTAATAATGCTTCTAAACTTCATAACTCCTGTGACTTAATTCCTATTTTCTTCTTCTTCTTCTCTTCTTTCTTTTCTTCTTCATCTTCTTCTCTTCTCTTTCTTTCTTTCTCTTCTTCTTCTTCTTTCTTCTTCTTCTTCTTCTTCCCCTTTCTCTCTCCTTTTCTCCTCTGGGTTGTCTTTCTCTCTCCTGTCTCGTGTTTTGTTCCTTCTTCATTTATTTTATTTCACCACTTCCCCTTTCACGCACCTCGGTGCGCTTGCTCTCCCTCTGTGGGTTTCTAGCTCTCTTGCAAGTGCTCCCCTTCCTTTGTATTTGACTGGCTCGTCTTCCTTATTTCCCACTTCTACCACATACCACTACTACTACCTCTTCTTCTTCTACTACAACTACTGATGAAATTAAGACACATGTGCGGCATCTGGTTGTCTTTGTTGTGGACGTTTCGCCATCCAGTGGCTGGCTGGATGGCGAAACGTCTACGGTGGGGATGCCAGGGTGTTGTGCATGTGTCATTTCATCCTGTCGGTATTATATACATTTCTTGTACTACTACTACTACTACTACCTCCACCTCTTCCTGCCTATATATAGCTGTCCTGCTCCACCTCTGTTAGTGTGACTTTGTCAATGGTCCAAGTCGGACCGAAACGTCGTCATAAGCTTCTCTCTTTTATGTGCGGGTTATTTGTGTATACAACACATACCAGGAGCAAGGGGCTAGTAACCCCTTCTCCTGTATAAATTACTAAATTTAAAAAGAGAAACTTTTGTTTTTCTCTTTGGGCCACCCTGCCTTGGTGAGATGCGGCCGGTTTGTTGAAAAAAAAAAAATATAAGTGAAAGAATAGGTGAAGTATTGTCAGTTTTTTTGCTGAGAATAAGACAAAGGTTTTTGATAAGATGAAAATATAATTGGTTAGATTCTGAGTAAGGAAATAGAGGTATTAAAAATGGTGAGAATATTTTAAGGGTTTGTTGAATGCTTATGTTGAAATGGAGACATAAATTGTATGCTTCAGATGATGAGGAAAGAGTTCTATTATAATGATAACCCGTTTGTAAACTGATACTAAAAGAATCTGTTTTGTGTAATGTTTATTCTGTCACTGTGATGGTAAAGCAGAGACAATAATTTGGTTTTAACTACATCCTTTTCCAAAACCCTTTTATCTCACTGGGTGTTTGTGTACATTAAAATTTTCATTAATGGACCTCTCATTAATGGATTTTGGAGCAAATTTGGACAAAAATAATGTTCAGACAAATGATGAACCTGTTTGACAAATAGACAAAAAGTTCATAATTCTGGATTTTGTCCTTATCGATAGTGTTTGGTTGTCTTCTGAAGTATTGGACCAAATCCGACAACTCCGACATTTGTTTGGTAATGGCCAGATCGGCCAAGCCCAGGACCTGTTAGTTTTCATTGTTCCCTTAGCCATAGGCCACCGATTCTTGTTTATTATCTGTGCTCACTTATGCATACACTCATCATTCAGTTTCTAATTTTCCCTGGATTAGACTGTTTTGTGTGACTTTATTAAGATATGTAAAGTGCAGTTAGCAGGGGCTTACAAAATATGTGACAGTACCAAGAGGAAACATGTGGTTTTTAGTGTTAAGCAGAAACTATAACTAATAAGGAAAATCAAGTCTGGCATCTCAGTGGTCTGGGTATGTGAGGAATATGGTGTTAACAAACATTGTCTGGTATCCGTAGAAGCAAGGATAAATTTACAGACTGTGTTATTAAGTTAAATGTAGATGCTATTGGACCTTTATAGCTTCTCTGACATAGAATAAGTTACTCTGAGTCACCACCATCAGTCACGACAGTTTACATCTCATCTTGTCACCATGAAAAGGTAAGTTAAGTTATTGTCCAGACCCCATATCTGAAGCTTGTCAGCAGTGTCCAAGAATTTAAAAAAAAAAAATTTTTTTGTTATTTTTTCATACAAAATGGTAGGGAATCTTTTTCTGAAGGTAGTAAAGCAAAAAGTATGAAGTTTGTTCGAAAATTGACAAATTTTGCTATGTCCGTGATATTTATGCATCGGCGAACTTTGCCCAATTTGAGTCCTATTTTAGGCCAATTACATTGTTCCAGTCATCCAAATTCTTAGCTATTTTGCTAGTATGTCTTCTATTTTATCGATTGAGCACAAGAAATCACCCAGTCAGCTATATCAACCACCCAATAAAGTGATCAGATACTGGTAATTTGGGCAATTTCACACAGATTTCAAAATATACCAATTTCAAAATAGGGTCCAGAATAAATAGTGCAGGCATTCCTAGCACTAAAATTACATTTCCTCTGTTTGTTAGTTACATTTCAAGGCTGTACACATGAATTAATTTTTTTTTTTCACACAAAGAATTTTTATTTGCACAAAAAAAATAAATTTACTCTTATGCAATATTGTAATAATTGTATAAATAATATCAGTGCATTTGTGAATGCATATGAGACCCACCAGTTGACACGTATTTGATGCTTGACTTGATTTGTTTACTGTTGAACATCGGCAAAAATCGAACATTTCTGCTACTTTGAGCTCAATTTCAAGCTATTTTTAGTCCTGAAACCAATCAAAATCATATCTGTTTTTGTAGCATATCAATTGAGACCAAGAAACCGAGAATACAGCCTTAAAAACATACAAAAATGCACCACTAAGTTGCTGTTTTAAAGCAAAAACATCATCACAGTGTTTTCTTCTCATTCACTGCATGATGCAGGATTCTTTTTATAGGGTGCACACTTACCACATTGACCCATTCTCTCATATCTAAGTCCAAATTTACCACTCCCAGCTTATCTGAGTGAGCTGAGCTCATGATGTAGTACTATGGAAGCCAGTGAACTTAGGCATAGTACTATGGCACAGTGAGCAAAAGGGTTAAGTACAGCATGCGTACTATTGAAATTACTATATAGTACAGTGCATTATAGTGCTGTATACATATATTATATAGTGCAGTACTCTAAAATTACTATAAAATACCCATATTCTTAGTGTCCAGTTGTTTTCTGCATCAGTGGACCAAGTCTGCTAGTTCAGAAGACAACCGGACGATCATGAAAATTAATTCCTTAATTTGGAGTTTTGGACAATCGTCAGTATCCTATATCCCCATCCCCTATTAGTCCATTAATGAGAGGGTTCACTGTATTTTATTAATAGTTTTTGTTATGCTCTAACCAGCTATAATTTTTCTTTTAGATATTTGCTTGTAATTAGGCTCCAAGTCCTAATGAGTTACACAGACCCAGAGTTTATTTTTTTTAAATTTTTACATAAACCTTCACAGGTTTTTGGGACAGCAACTATTCCACCACAGGAAATGCCTACCCTTGAGGTGAAGCTCCAGGATGCTGTGCCAGAAGCCTTTGAGATGGTACTCAACTACATATATACGGACCGTATTGATCCTTACCGCTGCAAGAAAGACCAGAATCCCAACAAAATTGTTCTTATCATGATGGATGTGTATCGTCTTGCTGTACAGGTGTGTGTCAGTAACATTTTTTGTTATGTTATTTCTGATCTGGTAATTATTCTAACTATAATATGAAGGTTAATAATGTGAAAGCATTGTGATTGGAAAGTTAAAAGGTTTGTCCCTTATTCACAGGTAATAAATAAATATCTACTAGTCAATAAATATTTATTTAATAACTGTTTGATATGATAGAAGAGAATTACTTATGGTTAGGAAGTCAAGGTCATCCCACCCATGACAACTGGCTAAGTAAAACTTTCTTGTATGAATAGGAGAAAAGCATGAATGCTAGGAAGAAAGTTGAAAATGAACTTAGATAAAAGTAAGGTGATGATGGTAACAAACGAGTTAGGTAAAGAAAAATTGGATATCACATTTGTAGGGAGGGAATTTGGAAGAAGTGAATGTGTTCAGATATTTAGGAGCTGACTTGTCAGCAGATGGGTTTATGAAGGACAAGATTAACCATAGAATTGATAAAGGAAAAAAGGTGAGTGGTGCATTGAGGTATCTGTGGAGACAAAAAAAAAAGTTATCCACAGAGGCAAAGAAGGGAATGTAACACCCCTACCAACCTACCTAACCTAACCTAACCTAACCTAACTTAACCTAACCTAACCTAACCTACCTACCTACCCTACCTACCCTACCTACCCTACCTAACCTACCTAACCTACCTAACCTACCTAACCTACCTAACCTACCTAACCTACCTAACCTACCTAACCTACCTAACCTACCTAACCTACCTACCACCCACCCCTCCCTACACACACACACACACACAGACACACACACACACGAAACAACACACAACCACACAACCACACGGCACACACACCACCCACACAACACACACACACACACACACACACACACACAGCACCACACCACACAACACACACACACACACACACACACACACGCACACACACACACACGCACACACCCACGCACACACAATAGCAGGCAGGTTGCACTGGGGAGCATGTGTCTGGGGGCTATGGTCCTTGACAGACAAGAGAGTCACGTGGGTGACAAAACAAACGGAAAGCACACTAAAATTTCACCTCTGGCTACTGTAATGTGTAGAATCAGCAGGAGACTGGAGAAAGCTTGAGTGACCCACAGGCATGCATACGTTGATACACATGCCTTGGCAAGTATGTTCAAGCTTGGTCGTCAACAGGGCTTCTCTGTGGCTTTTTGTGGCTTGAACACTTAGGAAACCATGCCACAAGCAATGATTACAGGTCAAAGATGAACGCACAGCTTAGGCCAGAAATTTACAGGGAATTCATGAGGCAGTATAGAGTGAGTGTGTGTTGAGTGATGTGGGAGGCCAGGCATTATTTCCTGTGCTACAACCGCATTCATGTTGTTTAATGTAAAAAAAAAAAAAATGCTGAGTGTTGTTTTGTGCTTTTTTACATACAAGTGTGTAGATATGGGTTAGACAGTTGTTAGAGAAGATTATTCATTTGTCACTCAGCCCTGTAAGCAAGAAAAAGCTATGTTACCAAGCACTCATAATGAGTGCTTTTTAAAATATTTGCTATTCACTATGATTTCATCGCAGTGCCACATGAGACGCTTAGAGCAACTGTGTGTGCAGTACTTGGAGGCCACTATTAATCATCGCAATGTTTTGGTAGCACTCTGCAATGCTGCAAGCCTGAAGCTATTTTTCATAAAGGAATTCTGTCTTAAGGTAAGTGGCATGTATGAGAGGTAGTGGTAAGTGATCAGATTAGATAAATTCATGTGATTTGCAATTTTGTTCACTTAATGAATATCCTAACCAAATCTGTTCATTGGCAGAAATATTTAATGATCATTGAATGACTCCTTAGAATAAACTTATCTTTATTGCTACAAAGTTAGTTAATACATGATTTATACCTGTTGCATTCTTGCAGAATTAGAGTACGTATTCTCTGTTCTTGCAGTTTATTGTACGAGAAAGCAACTACAACCAAATTGTGATGTCTAAAGAATTTGAGATGTTGGACAAGCCACTGATGGTAGAGATAATCCGTCGGAAACAGATGCCACCGATGAGATCGCTGCAGGAACCTCAGTTTGAATCTTCAGGTTGGTTATATATGATGTGTTGCTACATGTGTCAGTCCTCACATGGTGAAAAAGTCTACAATTCAGTCCTCTTTTATTAGATTAGAACCATATTTATAACAACCATTCATATAACCCCAGTGGAAATAATTAAGTAATACCTTCATAAGAATCTGAGTCAGAAGTTCTGGAGTATTTTTGTCCTTGGTACCGGGTGCTATATATTTAGTGTATAACGGGACTATTTGCTGAGAGTATAGCTAATTAAAATTAAGGTTTTAGTAAATGGATGTGAAGTTAGTAGTGTGAATAGGGACTAAGTAGTATATTGTAAAGTGATAAAAGTAATAGAATGTTTCATAAACTAATTATGACATTAGGTATTTTGTAAATTATGTCCATAACTAAAATAATTTTCTCCATGGGGAAGTGGAACAGAATTCTTCATCCGTAAGCCATGTGCGTCGTAACAGGCTGGGAGCAAGGGGCTAGTAACCCCTTCTCCTGTGTACATTATTAAGTTTAAAAGAGAAACTTTCATTTTTCTTTTTGCGCCACCCTGCCTCAGTGGGATACAGCCAGTTCATTGAAAGAAGAAATAAAATAACACAGCAGGTCAATAGAGAGAGAGTAGATAAAGTGAATGTAGTACAGTATAGTAGTCCCCCCAAATTTACAGGGGTTATGTTCCAAGACCACCCGTGAATTTGGAAAAAAATGTGAATTTTGGACATGGTTAAAAAAAAAGCCTGTAAATGCCTATTTTTATAGTGTAAACCCTAAATATGCCCCCAAAACACTTTAATCTAATTTCAGACTCAGCTTCATACATCACCTATAAAAAAAAAATGTAAAGATAAACCCGTATACAGTACTGTACTGCTATGTCTCCCACAGTGCTAGAATGTAAAATACAGATGTTACCCCCACATGTACTGTAATTCATGCAAGCCTGTTTTCTTTGGTATATGTATGGTAAATATATGGTAATAATTTAGTAAAAGTAAAGTTAAATGTATGGAAATTATGCTGAATTTATGTTAATATTTATGCTACAAAATTAATAAATTACATTTATCTTAATATTTAGCATTAAAATGCATAAAAAATTGTATATTACCACAGAAGAAGCTAAAAAAATTTCTGCGAATTTGAGGGATTTCCATGAACAATTATTAGTTAAGTTCTAAGAAAAAATCCGAGAATTACTGAAGCCGCGAATTCGCAGTTCCGAATTTGTGGGGGTCCACTAATAAGAATTATAATATTTTTTATATTAATTCTTTTTTAGATGTTCAGAAACTTTACTGAAAAGTTCTGACTGTGAGTTTGGTTGAAATTTGAGAATATGTTTTATTTACCTCTTCAAATCTTGAAAAATATGGTTACTGTGTTATAGTTTTCACTTATGCATTAGGAGATGAACACTTATATTTTATATGAAACCTACTGCACAATGAATTAATTACTGAAGACGGCTGGAAATTGGTAATTACAGAACTTGGAAAGTTAAAGGATGTAGGCTAAAAAAGGCAAAGAGAAATAATGATTAAGTTAGTAGAGTGAGGTAAATAGGAAAGTGAAAATGTTAGAGAGGCAGTGTCATTTGAAAGTATGGTCAGTTACCAGATGATCTTATGTATAAAAGGAAAATGATCTAGCAGTATACTTCTAGATCATTCTGTAATAGTTTTTACATAGGTGAACTTGAAACAAAGCTAACTGTCTATAATATGAGCATTAATGCTCAGTAATAACCCACATGGAGACAGAAGCTCAGGAGATTAATTGCTCTGTATATTTCGACCCCCTTTTGGGATCCTCTTCAGCAGATCTGGTGAGGAGGATCCCAAAAGGGAGTCAAAATATACAGATCAAGTAATCTCTTGAGTGTCTGTCTCCATGTGGGTTATTATCGAGCATTGACAAGTGTTCATTGCACTTTAGTTATTCATGATCATTAATAATGAAGAGCTTAAATATTCAATGAATTTCCAGGTACAACACTAGAACAAGACATGGAGCAGTTCCTGAAAAGTGTGGGTCAGGATTTTTGTGACATTACTCTCATGCTTGATGGTTCTCCTATCAGAGCACACAAGGCTGTGTTAGCAGCTCGTTGTTCTTATTTTGAAGCAATGTTCAGATCCTTTATGCCAGAGAATAGCATGGTACAGGTAAGTGTTTTTCATGCTTTGTTTCTACAGTAGAGTACTGTGTAGAGGTGCTCATGTTTCTACAGTAGAGTACTGTGTAGAGGTGCTCATGTTTCTACAGTAGAGTACTGTGTAGAGGTGCTCATGTTTCTACAGTAGAGTACTGTGTAGAGGTGCTCATGTTTCTACAGTAGAGTACTGTGTAGAGGTGCTCATGTTTCTATAGTAGAGTACTGTGTAGAGGTGCTCATGTTTTTGTATGAGTATGAAGCATGATCTTCAATTGCTGCAACAAAGAAGAGGTCAGGAGCAATAATAATGTGAAGTGCGAATTTTATGCAGAATTTTATGTCGAATGACATGGAGAGCGTATAAATCTGTAGGGAAGGAAAGTAGGGTAGGGGTCATCCTCAAAAGGGTTGGAGGAAGGGGGTAAAGGAGGTTTTGTGGGCAAGAGGCTTGGACTTCCAGCAAATATGTTTTGAGCGTGGTAGATAGGAATAAATGGAGACGAATGGTTTTTGGGACCTGACGAGCTGTTGGAGTGTGAGCAGGGTAATATTTAGTGAAGGGATTCAGGGAAACCAGTTACAGTGGACCCTCGACTAACGGCGGCTTTGGCTAATGCCAAAATCGGCTAACGGCTCGCTTTGGCATAAAAATATTGGCTCAGCTAACACCAAATAACTTGGCTAAGGGCTTTCATCCTGAACGCGTCCGCATGGCCTGAGCGGGCGCCTGACCACTCACTCCTTGTACCAGCCAGTGTGCCATTGTTTACAAAGCCAGTGAGGACGTCCACGCATACCTGCAATATATTTTGTATTATTCCAGTGTTTTTAGTGCTTGTAACTGCTAAATTAGCCACCATGGGCCCCAAGAAAGCTTCTAGTGCCAACCCTGTGGTAAAAAGGGCTAGGTGTTCTATCGAACTGAAGAAAGAGATAATTGCAAAGTATGAAAGTGGAGTGTGTATCTATGAGTTGGAAAGGTTATATAACAAACCCCATTCAACCATCACTACTATCTTGGCCAACAAAAAGGCAATCAAGGAAGCTGTTGCTGCAAAAGGTGGAAGTATGTTTTCAAAACAGAGATCACAAATACTCGAAGATGTGGAGAGACTGTTATTGGTGTGGGTAAACGAGAAACAGTTATCAGGAGATAGTGTATCTCAGTCAATAATATGTGAAAAGGCAAGGCAGTTGCATGCGGATCGCATTAAGAAAATACCTCCAAATAGTGCTGCTGTTGATGAATTTAAGGCCAGCAAAGGCTGGTTTGAGAAATTTAAGAACCATAATGGCATACACAGTGTGATAAGGAATGATAAGGCTGCCAGTTCTGACAAAAAAGCAGCTGAAAAATATGTGCAGGACTTTAAGGAGTACGTAGACACTGAAAAATTAAAACTCCCCAACAAGTGCTTAATTGTGACGAAACAGGCCTGTTTTGAAAGAAAATGCCAAACAGGACCTACATTACTCAAGAGGAAAAGGCATTCCCAGGACATATGCCTATGAAAGACAGGCTAACTCTAATGTTTTGTAGTACAGTGGACCCCCGCTTAACGATCACCTCGGCAATATAAACACAAATGCAGTATAATGTGATCCTTTATTGACTACGTTTCGCCCACACAGTGGGCTTTTTCAAGTCACAAACAGAACTACCTGGGGTGGAAGGAACGCGAGTATTTATAGTCCGGCTGAGGTCAGGTGAAGAATGCTGCATATGATGATGTACCGAGTGGGGTTATAGAGTCTAAAAACTTGGGTAGCTTGGAAAGGAGATTGGATAAGTTTGTGAGCAGACCTTCTACAGTGTTCTTATGTGGGATAGCGATGAAGAAGTTTCTTGGCAAGTGGTTCAGCTATGTTATAAAGCCACTATTCTGGTTGAAGTTGTCGGATATAGAAATAAGTGATGATTCCAGATTCTTTCGGTATTGAGTGTTGTCTTCTGTGGCGATAAGTCTTGAGTTTCTGTAGTTTATCAAGTGGTTGTGTGAATTACGGTGTTGTATGCAGGCATTCCTTGTGTCGTCAGACCTGCTTGCGTATGGTGTTCTGAAATACGTTTTGGAGGTCCCTTGATGTTTCGCCCACGTATAACTTGTTGCAGCCATTACAAGGATTATGTATACCCCTGCAGAGGATGGAGGCTTGTCCTGCCTACTACTGGTGATGTCCTTGATGGTCGTGGTTGTGGAGGTAGATACTTGGAATGATGTTTTGGCAAAGATGTTGGAAACATGTTTGGCAATGGAGTTGGTGGGAAGGACTATGTATCTCTTCTCGGCAGTGTCTTCTCTGGGTGTGTTGAAGATGTTTAATGCTCGCCGTCTGCAGTCTCTGATGAAGTGACGAGGATAGTGGAGTTTAGAAAATATTTGTTCAATTATAGTGCATTCTTCCTCAAGGAACTCGTGCTGCAGATTCTGAGTGCACGCAGGAAGAAGCCTATAATTACACCACGTTTGGTTTTGGTGTCGTGGTGAGAGTAGAAGTGGAGAAGATCGTTTTGGTTGGTGGGTTTTCGATAGACTTTTAAAACGAAGTTCGTGGTCAGCTTTGCAGAGCAGGACATCAAGGAAAGGAAGAGTGTTGTCGACTTCTCTTCAAGTGTGAACTGGATTGAAGGCTCGACCTGGTTGAGCTTGTCTTGGAGAGCTTGAACGTTGAAGCGTTTAGGAGTTATGAGGAGAATGTCGTCAACATAACGGAGCCAGGTGACAGACGAAGGAATAATGGGTGGAGAAACGTTCAGCTTCTAGATGTTCCATGTATAGGTTCGCCAGGACTGCACTGAGTGGCGAACCCATGGGTAGTCCAAAAGTCTGCTGAAAGAGGTGATTTTCGAAAGAGAAACACGTAAAGCCAACACATAGTTCAACAAGGTCGATGAAATCGCGGCTGGAATGGGAAGATTAAAGTGATCGTCAATTTTCCTGCGCAAGAGATCGATGGCTTGTTAGTAGGTACTTTGGTGAATAGGGAAGTCACGTCAAGGCTGGAAAGTTTCTTGTTCCTGATGTTGATGTTGCGAATGCGATTGAGAAGATCACCTGAGTGTTTGAGATGTGCTGGACTGATAGTGCCCAAGAGTTTAGAGAGGTGTTTGGCGAGGAATTCCTGAGAGCTGGTGGGGAGCACTGCCTATTCCCGAGGATATGGGCCTCAGTGGGATACCAGGCTTGTAAGTCTTTGGCAGGCTGTACATTCTGGCAGGTCTGGGGTTGCTGGCATGGTGTGCAGAAGTTCTTCTTCCCTTGTTCTGAGCCCCTCAGAATGCGGCGAGTCCGCATTCTGAGGGGCTCAGAACAAGGGAAGAAACTTCTGCACACCATGCCCAGCAACCCCAGACCTGCCAGAATGTACGGCCTGCCAAAGACTCACAAGCCTGGTATCCCACTGAGGCCCATATCCTCGGGAATAGGCAGTGCTCCCCACCAGCTCTCAGGAATTCTCGCCAAACACCTCTCTAAACTCTTGGGCACTATCAGTCCAGCACATCTCAAACACTCAGGTGATCTTCTCAATCGCATTCGCAACATCAACATCAGGAACAAGAAACTTTCCAGCCTTGACGTGACTTCCCTATTCACCAAAAGTACCTACTACACAAGCCATCGATCTCTTGCGCAGGAAAATTGACGATTCACTTAATCTTCCCATTCCAGCCAGCGATTTCATCGACCTTGTTGAACTATGTGTTGGCTTTACGTGTTTCTCTTTCGAAAATCACCTCTTTCAGCAGACTTTGGACTACCCATGGGTTCGCCACTCAGTGCAGTCCTGGCGAACCTATACATGGAACATCTAGAAGCCGAACGTTTCTCCACCATTATTCCTTCGTCTGTCACCTGGCTCCGTTATGTTGACGACATTCTCCTCATAACTCCTAAACGCTTCAACGTTCAAGCTCTCCAAAACAAAGCTCAACCAGGTCGAGCCTTCAATCCAGTTCACACTTGAAGAAGAAGTCGACAACACTCTTCCTTTCCTGATGTCCTGCTCTGCAAAGCTGACCACGAACTTCGTTTTAAAGTCTATCGAAAACCCACCAACCAAAACGATCTTCTCCACTTCTACTCTCACCACGACACCAAAACCAAACGTGGTGTAATTATAGGCTTCTTCCTGCGTGCACTCAGAATCTGCAGCAACGAGTTCCTTGAGGAAGATGCACTATAATTGAACAAATATTTTCTAAACTCCACTATCCTCGTCACTTCATCAGAGACTGCAGATGGCGAGCAGTAAACATCTTCAACACACCCAGAGAAGACACTGCCGAGAAGAGATACATAGTCCTTCCCACCAACTCCATTGCCAAACATGTTTCCAACATCTTTGCCAAAACATCATTCCAGTATCTACCTCCACAACACGACCATCAAGGACATCACCAGTAGTAGGCAGGACAAGCCTCCATCCTCTGCAGGGGTATACATAATCCCTTGTAATGGCTGCAACAAGTTATATGTGGGCGAAACATCAAGGGACCTCCAAACACGTATTTCAGAACACCAATACGCAAGCAGGTCTGACGACACAAGGAATGCCTGCGTACAACACCGTAATTCACACAACCACTTGATAAACTACAGAAACTCAAGACTTATCGCCACAGAAGACAACACTCAATACCGAAGAATCCTGGAATCATCACTTATTTCTATATCCGACACTTCAACCAGAATAGTGGCTTCTATAACATAGCTGAACCACTTGCCAAGAAACTTCTTCATCGCTATCCCACATAAGAACACTGTAGAAGGTCTGCTCACAAACTTATCCAATCTCCTTTCCAAGCTACCCAAGTTTTTAGACTATAACCCCACTCGGTACATCATCATATGCAGCATTCTTCACCTGACCTCAGCCGGACTATAAATACTCGCGTTCCTTCCACCCCAGGTAGTTCTGTTTGTGACTTGAAAAAGCCCACTGTGTGGGCGAAACGTAGTCAATAAAGGATCACATTATACTGCATTTGTGTTTATGTTGCCATTGTGT